ATCTTCATTATCTCCACTGTGGAAAACTAGTCCAATTTCCCCCTGGTAGTCTGGGTCAATCACCTCTCCTAATACCATTATTCCTTTCTTAGCCTGTTGACTTAAGGGCATCAGATGCCCAAAGTTTCCAGGGGGAAGTCTTAGCTTCCAGTTCAACTGAATGTTTGTTGTCTCTCATGGCAGAAGCACTCTCTCCTCTGGAACCAAAACATCCAAGCCAGTGGAGTACAAAGTTGAGGGTACAGGAAAGAAAAATATTTCCTAGTGGGTCACCAGGGGTGATAGTGAGTGGAACCATTCCCACTTCCACCCTTTGATTCCTGGACCCATGAATCCTGGCTATAGGAGAAACTGTACCGTATATTGGATGCTGATTCAAAGCATACACTGCCTTCTGGAGGACACTGCCCCAGCCCTCCAGGCTATTGCCACCTAATTGGTGCTTTAACTGTGTCTTTAAGAGACCATTCCATCATTCTACCAAGCTAGCTGCTTCAGGATGGTGGGGAACATGGTAAGACTAGTAGATTCCATGACCATGGGCCCACTGTCACACTTCTTTGGCTGTGAAGTGAGTTCCCTGGTCAGAAGTGATGCTGTGCAGAATACCATGACAGTGGATAAGGCATTCTGTAAGTCCCTGGACAGTAGTTTTAGGATTAGCCATCACACTTGCTAAATTGATAAAACCCCAGTAGAAATTTAAAAAAAAACTAGAATCATAGATAAGATATAGTATTTAGAACAAGCTGATCAAAATAAACGAAACTTTATATAATCCTCCCAGGAGGCTCTGAACTTGCTTACTAAGCATAACTTGGAACAACCGTGGTTGGAATCTTCTACTTTTGTTTCTAGACCAGTGTTATCTTTCTTGGGCCTAAAAGGAGCTAAGCTTGACAAAGGTAGAAGTCAGAACCAATGTTTCTGGTAGGAAAATTAACTTCCTTAAACAAAATTTACAGCCAAATAAGCCACATGAACCCCAAATCTGCTTGTTTTCTTATCACTCTGACATGTGCCTGTGGATGGGGATGAAATGCTGGGAGCAATGGGCTGAGAAATCCTTGACTTACATCTGCTTCACTGAGAAATTCAAGGAGATGTTGGCTCAGAACATGACCCATAGATGCACTCTCTGACCAATGTCCTCTTCTGACCCCTGTGGGCATTGCATGACACGGGTACACTTAGATACATGCAGACAATACACTCATACACATAAAATAATAAAAATAAAATATTAAGAAAATTGGAAACGTAGGGAGAGCCTTTTCTGAATGAACTGAAGCGACTGTGTCTAAGCTTCAATGTAAACCTTTTTGACCAAGAGTGTGGAAATTGCTAATCTTGAGTTCTGACGATCTGCAAAAGGATCCATGTAGTGTGAACCTGGAGAATGCAACAATCAAACCCAGCGACTAGATCCTTTCTCAGGTCCTCTTTCGCAGTGCCTTTTGCAAGAAGGGTGGCCTGGGTACCTACGCGCCCCAGCAGTTCAGTCCGGTGCTCACTGGCGCCCACTCCCCTCCACGACGGAGCTCAGCGCACCCACTCAGGAAAGGAAGGAGCACCTCACCCCACCTCCGCGGCGGGATCCGCCCAGCAGACGCACACCTGACTTAGGCGAGGGAGCAGGCATCCGCCCTATTCTGCTGGTGCCCTATACCCTCGCTCAAGCACAATTGCATCCACGCTCCTCATTCCCTTGGAACCTTCTAAGTCGTCTCTTTTTAAATCGGGAAAACAAACTGGTGGTGCGGTTAGAGGATCAAGGGAAGGGAGCTCAGAGGGAAAGTCGGCCCGGCAGAGACAGAGCAGAACCTAGACACGCCACCCAGATGTCCGCCAGCTGCTAGCCCTGAGCTCACTGGCGGCCCTGGCACTACCTGACCCACCCTTAATATCGCCTGGCAACCCCGACCAGCCCTGCGAGTCTCTCAACTTGCACCCCGGCCGCAGTCGCTCAGTGCTCGAGTCTCTGACCCCAACCGCACCCAGGCCTGCGCTACCGCAAGGGTGAACGCAGGAGGGACCAGAAGGGCCCACCGCGCCCCGCCCAGGGCCCACCGCGCCCCGCCCAGGGCCCACCGCGCCCCGCCCAGGGCCCGCCCCTCCCTAGCGTCCTACGCGCCGGCGACTAGTGCCTCCAGCAGCGGGGAGACGTAACGCGGCTGACAGGTTTGCTGGGCGGACGTTCCCGGTACGCATGCGCCCCGTGCCGACGTGTTCACTGAGCGCCACCGTCCTCTCTGGAAGATGGCCGAGCGTGGGTCCAAGTCGGTGCTGTTCGTGTGTCTGGGTGAGGGTACTCCCATTTAACGCAGTCTTTCTTCTTGGAACTTGGAGTGCTCCCTGTGTTGTTTTTGAAGGAGAAATGGGCCGAGGGAAGCGGGGGCGGGAGGCCGAGGGTGGGCTCACGCCTAGGAACACTCACTTGCTGGCTCATCTTCCGGTACTTATCTAAACCTAAATTCCTTGTGCCTTTGTCCCAAATTATGTACCTGCTCACCTTCTTGCCTTTCCCAGCTCATGTCACCCCCTCACCTGCCTTTCCTTCACAAACCTAGACCTCCCCTGTCCCCTCCCTGAGCCTGTGGCCCCACTCACCTACCCCTCCCACCGTCCTTAAATTCTGTGTTGCCTATTTCTTACTGTGTGGTTACTTTTCCCATCTCTGTGACAGAATATCTCACCAAAACAGCTTAAGGGGACGGATTTATTTTGACTCAGTTTCAGAGGGTTCAGTCTGTGGTTAGTTGCATGGCTCTTTTGATTCAGGACTTGTGCTTCTGGGCATCGAGGTCATCAGAGTGACCAGAGCATGAGGCAGAGACTACTCCATGTGAACAGGAAGTACAGAAAAGGGGACAAGTAGGAAGGGCCAAGGCAAGCTTTAGCCCCAAGGACGCACCCCCAATGATGCACTTGCTTCAGGTAGGCACCACAACCTACTTTTCGTCACTTCCCAGTAGTGCCATCATTTTGTAAGTCTATTAATAGATTAAACCATTGATGGGGTCAGAGCCCCTATGATTTAATATTCTCTGGATATGCCATCATCAACACAGTGAGAGTTGTGCTTTTCTAATCTAGACATCTCAGTCCAGTCAAGCTAACAGTGAGGCTAAATCATCATCACTCACCCCCACACCCCCACCCACCCACCAA